GCAGCCCCGGGACAGACTACCCGAACACCTCCGCCGCTGGTCAACGACAGGTCAGCTGCGTTGGTGCGTGCATGAGCGAAGAGAAGAAGGTTCGGATCAGAGAACGTACTGGCGTAGAGGATGCCTTGCGGAGAGAGCCCCTCCTCGAGATGCTCAAGCCATACCATACTGCATCCCGCGCAGCCGCCGTTGACCACCGAACCACATCGTCCCACTTCGACCCGCTTCGGTAATTATACTCCAGTTCAAAGCAATAGTTGGTTGATTTCCAGTTAAATTATACTCCCTGCTTGGCAAACTGGAACTATGATTATCCTAAATCCTACTTCTAGAGTTGCTGCAGATCAACAGCTGCTCTGAGTACAAGAACTCTCCCCCTATCTGCAAGATCAGCAGTACAAACAGTACATTTTTTGAGTATATTTTCAAAGTACTTCAAGCAGGATAATTGAAGTTACTGAAATTTTACTAAAACTGTGCCTACGACTACATCTCGTACTCATAATCTGTACCCATACTCATACAAATAAACTGAACCCTACTCCTAATCTGTACCCAAGCAGTACTCCAAATTTAAAGGGAGGAGACAGGGGAAGCTCACCATGCAATGGAGATGCTAGCGAAGAGGAGCATCGTCGAGCAGGGTGTCCTCGAGCAGATGTTCGTCGTCGAGCATCACCTGTTTGAACCAGGTGACTGCTTATTCGAACCAGCAGACTTAACCTTTTTATTTTGCTACAATTTTATTAACATTTATCCAGATGCTATCAAGTTACAATCTTTAATTTCCAGTCTACCATGATAGAGTGATATTACCACTCACACTCACTTTCTGTAGTCAGTGTATAACTTGACATACACCTTATATTGGAAATAGACCATATATTGATAGTGAATATGTTGTCCTGCAGTACAGAGCCCTACATAAATGGTAATCAAACATTACAAAGAGTTTGCTGATTGCTCCCAGGTCAAAAAAAATGTTTTAAATGTTATAGCAGCACATTAGGCTAATCATCATATATGATTCAATTGCCTCTAATTATGGGAACCTCTATTTCGAATCATCTTGCTCCGTACTATGATTGCTTGCTCTTCAAAGGGAACTCGTCTTTGAATTCCTTAAAACATGTCTCGGGCATTTATTTTTCTAGCACCTGACATAATGATGCAAAGTTTGAGATAGAAAATGCTAAGAAACCACATGAATTTTATTTTAGTTAAGATCGCTTCCGATAATAGAAATGAACTACAGATCAAAAGGAGAAGTAAGCTTACTTAACTGGAAGTAGCATGAAGATGAGATGATGAAACTATTATTATGTGTCACATTCTTCTGACGGATTCCTACATACCACACCTGACCACAACCAAGATGATTAGGACATGCATCTCAAATACAAGTTACAGGAATCTTGCAACCGTAGGGGTTCTCCGGCTGCTCAGAATACAACAGTGATGGTGCAGACTGGTAGTGGGAAGGCGCGGCCAAAACAATCAACCTCAATGGCGGCCTGTCATCCTTGATGGTGGCAGTTCCAACTCGGTGCTCGATGGTCGTCGGCAGCGGCAGTACCCAGAGTTCTCAATGGAGGCAGTTCCTGCTCATACCCGGCGGCAGTGCCAGTAGCCCTCAAGAATCAGTATCGGCAGTAGAAAATGACGCATGTGTGGCATCAATGCCTACAGCGTTGTTTACATCATGTCACTCATCTCGTGCAGTGCACCACGACCCGCCGATGTGTCGTCCCGTGCCTCCTTCCTGCCTCGGCACTACGCTGCCGCCACGCCGACTCCCATGTGTTGCCTGGATCTGACCGACATGGGCCCCAAGTGGCAACCTCGCCTCATCCGCGCTCGGATCCGGCCGCTGACTTCCCTAATGTGCGCCCCTCCCCCCCTACAGAAACGCATGCCGCCACTTCACCTCGAGCACTCACGGCCAACTCCAAGCCCTTCGTCGCAAGCTTCGTGTTGGATCCGAGAGAGCTGCTGCAGCGGCGGCGGCCTCGCGCGGAGGAACGCAACGCAAAGGTCCGGCGCGGAGGACTGCATGGCGGCCGGCGGGCGCTGGTGGCGATCAGATGCGAAGCGGTGGGGGCGTGGGCGATCGATAGGAAGGGGATCGTGGAGTCGAGCTGGAGGTGGGCGCAACGGCCGCGGCTGGAGCTGGGCGCGGCGGCCGCGGCTGGAGGTGGCGGGGGCGGCAGCGACGGGCGGCGGCGTTTGAGGGAGGGAGATGGGGGAGGGGATCGGCGGCGGCTGCGAGGGGATTGAGCGACGTAGGAACGAATGAAGGCGGCGACTCGTGCGGGCAAGTGCGTCGAGGGCACGAGGGTGCGAGCCTCTGGCGTAATTTCGTAGGTTAACCGTGTTAGTTCGTTTTAGGTCTTTTTTCTAGCTGTGAACCGGCGCGGTTCAGAATGGGCGTAGTTGTATCTTAACGGTTTTTTTATCGGTTGGGAGGTAAGATGCGGGGGAACGGTGGAAAGCGGGAGGTGGGACGAAGTACCAAAAAAAATCAGGGGAGGTGGGACGAAAATTGACCTGCGAAGACTACCAACTGCTCCATTAGGAGTAGAGATAAGGCTAGTTTGTTCACCAATTCAAAAATGTTGTTTTAAAAAAAGTTCAGAAATTTTAAAAAATGTTCACTTAAAAAAAGATTATGTTCACTGATACAAAATATATTAATGTTTCCAGTTTCATCCAGAATATCATAGTATATATGTTATAATCTTCAGGTTTTGTTTAAAAATTCAAAAAATGTTCGAGAATTTTAAAATTTCATATTTTTTTAAAAGTTTTAGCAATTTTAGAAATTACTTGCATTTGACAAAAAAAATTCCTAATTTCGAACAAGTGTACAAAATTTGAAAAATTATTCACAATTTTTCATGTAATGTTCAGTTACGCCGCTGCCATTAGTTCTTTAGATCTCGCGCTACTCATCAGTCAAGAGAACTCGTCAGTTGCAGTGGCTAGCAAGATGTGTGCTCCAACAGGAGGTATGCAGTTTGAATCGTAGTACCCGCGGCACATTCTTTGTTGCGCGCGACCGCTAGTTGTCAGTTTGACATCAATGGGCCCGGTCAGTCGGAGAAGCTCGAGCCATTCTAGGCTGGGTGCCGTGGGTGACAAACAAACAACGAGAAAATGAGATAAAACAAGCAAACGATGCAAAAGTGGGGCTTTGTTTATCTACTCATGTGACCACGTGACACATGTGATAAGTAATCCAAACTATTCCAAAGTTGTTTATCTGCTGATGTAGGATGATGTCATACTTAAATTTTGCATTTTCAAATTTTGTTCGGAGTTTCAAAAAATTGTTGATGTTTACAAAACATGTACATGTTAAAAAATGTTCATATTTTCAAAAATGATTCAAAGATTCAAAAAAACTTTGTGTTTTCAAAAAATGTTCTTAAAAAATATTGGATTTTTTTTAAAAGGATCGCATTTCAGAAAATACTCACTTTTAAAAATAGTCGTGTTTTGAAGTTCCAAAGAAGTCTCTTTGTGCCTGCTAATGACTTCATTAGGAAGCTACATAGTAGCTACTCCCTCCTGTTCGGGTTTATTAGGCCTCTTAGCATCACAAGCATGTCCCTTTTTATAAGGTCTCGTTTTGGAAATGTGCATGCATGCAAATATTTCATTGGATACATTGAAAGTCATTGTTGTTGGTGCCATGGCTGGAAAGTTAATACACTTCATGCGTGCTTTTTCATTGGTTGCATGCATGTGAGAGAGTGCATTGGGAGTATAATGAAAAATCAATGTGAGCAAATTACTATGTATCTTAGTCTAAGAAAAGTTGTTTTTAGGCCTAATAAACCCGGACGGAGGGAGTAAGTCTAATCGTGTCGATCCCTGCCGCGCTCACATATTGTGATTTTTTTAATGTTTGAACTAACATAACGGGCCAAAAAATAATCTCGCTCAACAGTAAAAAAACAGACAGAAAGACAAACATAGGGCCATAAACAAATACTCACTCCATCCCAAAATTCTTGTCTTAAATTTGTCCGATACAAATACAAATGTATCTTACACTAAAACATGACTAAAAATATCCATGTCTAGATACGATACGTGACTAAATACATCCATATCTAGACAAATCTAAGACAATTTTTTTAGACAAAAATAATACTACTTAAATATTTCACATGTGAATGAGCCCTAAACACATCTTTTTTCACTGTCCAATGTAATCAAGCTCGGGCCATAGACAGGAAAAGTAATGGTGTCCCACATGGCATGAATTTTTTTAACACAATATAATTGAAGTCGCTCACATACATAAGCATACACTTCCTATGAACCCACGCATACCCTACCGTATGAGCACCTCCGAGAGACTAAGCCGGCATAACATCTTGAGATTTTACGAAATCACCGTAGGTGCCTCGCAGTCGACGGGAACATCTCTTCCCACAGAAAGAACATCCAGAAAAATGCGAGCACCAATGTTAAGTCTAGAACTTAAACTCTGGTGGGTTGTGGATGTGACTGTCCTCCTAACCATTCAATGCATGGCATGCATTTTCATCACATTCGGCTCGTTTTCCTTCAATGGGCCTGGCCATTTGTTAGTTATAGCTGCTGCTCAAAGAAGTGGACTTTGCTTTACAAGGCCTGGTGAGTGTGAGGGCGAGAGAGACAGGCGCCGCCGCCTTCTCGCCGACGCGTCGATCGGACGCCGCCGCCGCCGTGCCAGCAACCACTGCTTGCAGGTCAGGTCAGTGCGTGTTCCTTTAGTTTCTTCTCGGTCGTTCGTAGTAATGGAAATCGGAGGGTAAAACCCTAGCTAGCTAGTTACAAGGGCAGCAGATCTAACTAACTAACAAGGGACAAACTGATTCCATTGGGTCTGCCTATCAAGAGGCTTCGTAATTCGGCCACTAAATTGTTACTAGTATTGTCTATATCTGTTGTTTCGAGTTATTTATGCACTGCCTTCCTCGATTCATGCAGGCAGCCTGTTCGACGGAATGTCCGAACTAGCTTCGACCCCCTGCAGTTCCAAGAGCACACGACGCACCACCAATGGTGTTGATAGGGTCAGCAGCCTTCCCGACGAGCTGCTCCACCACATGATGTCCTTCCTGCCCATGCCGGAGGTCGTGCGCACAAGTCTGCTCTCGACGAGGTGGCGCAATCTCTGGGCCTCTACGCCATACATCCGCATCGACCACCATGACTTTAAGGATTACGGCAAGCTGAAGAAGTTCGGGGACCACCTGCTACTCTTGCGGGACGGTGCTACTTCCTTGGATGAAGCCCGGATCCTTGCCAACAATGTTGATACTTTCACGTGTTGTGAGTGGGTTCGTCATGCCATCATGCAAAAAGCTCGTCACCTTCATGTTTCTGGATATGCCCTTTTGGATAGCACAGCCATGTTTCCTGCTCAGCACCTCAAAACAATCAGGCTCCGATCTCTCGTCTTGAGAGGGGGGTTCGTTAGGCTGCTGAACTGCGAGTGCCCAGTTCTTGAACATTTAGAGATAGAGCAGAGCGATTTGTGGGACCTGAAGGAGATCTCATCGTGGTCACTCAAGGTTCTTCATCTCATTCGCTGCCTTATCATCAAGGGTCTCGTAATTTGTGCTAGCAACCTTACTCATCTCTCTATCGATGAACAATCATGTCATTCGGGCGCTGTAGTAACTAGGGATCTGTCTTCTCTAGTAACAGCTTCGATTAGACTGAGGTATGACTACTATCATACTTCAGGCGGCTCAATACTGGATTATCGTCTACTTGATGGACTCTCAAATGCCACAACCTTGGAGTTGCATGCGCCCTTACCTGAGGTACGAACTACATCCTTTGATTTTCATATACATGAAGTTTAGATGAATGTATTTGCTTCCTTAGTTAGATTTGTTATGTAGTTGCTTCTCGGATTTAAATCCAGAGGATCTTCACTTTTTCAAACTATTCAACCCACTGTCAAGCTAGCATAGAAATATCGAATAATCAAGCTATTCAACTCACTCTCTTTGATCATTTTGATGTCGTCTCCGATGAATACGAAGCTCACATTTGAGAGAGATTTGCTGACATGCCTGGTGTTTAGCAACCTGACAAGTCTGGTGCTGGGTGATTGGTGCATGGCTGCTGACTTGTACCCGCTGCGTCGCATTCTACATCGCTCCCCCAAGCTGAAGGAGCTAAGTATAAAGCTTGAAATGGTACCCACTCAGAACCTGCTAGAACACTAGAACCTCTTAGGACCTTACTGATTTATACTACCTTAATGTTGATTGACACTTTGCAGGAGGAATGTAGGAGCTGTAAGAAATCCGAATCTGCTTTGCCGCTAGCAAGGGGAGCACTGCCGTCGGGCTCAGGAAGCAGCCACCCTTTCATCGAGACGATCATTATCCACTGCCAGAAGAAAGATTCCAGGGGCGATGCTTTGCTGCAGGCGTTGAAACTGATTGCCGGCAATGCGAAAATCAGCATCGAACGTCGCTGATCTCTATTAATCAAGGCCTTGTTTTGTTTTGGGGACCTGCCATCTTTGGTCCCTGCTATGTTAATGTGTTGAGACAAAGTATTTTGGAGACACCGATGTTATCCGGAAAAGACCCGCACTCATTGTCAGTAAGCAGTGGGCAAATGAGTTCTGAGATCATGTTTTAGATAGTGGGTGTGCACGCACAGGTCCGCTTTATGTGTGTGATGGTTGATCTCAGCTAGTTTCTCAACTTAGGCTAGCTAAGAGTAGGGACATGATGAATTATGGTTGCTGGGTATTCTAGGTCTTCCAACATGTTATATACTCTCTCCGTTCCTTTATATAAGGTGTATTTGTTTTTTGATAAAGTTCCATAATATAAGGCATATTTCATCTAATTCCTCATAATTCACTTGTTAGCCCTCCAGAAAAATGAAAAGTATCCCTTCCCTGATTGTCTAGATCTCTCCTTGTAGCAAAAGAAAGAAAGTATCTCTCTGTCGATTGCATGCATGTCTTACTTTACTGGACTAATTGATTTACTTACCACTAATCAACAAATTTGCAAAGGATAATTTAGTCCTAACATGTCTATAATTACGTGCCTTGGTCACTGTGCTGAAAATAATACACCTTACATAACGGAATGGAGGGAGTATGTGGTTATTTTTTAGCCAAATATTGGATTGCTTTTGTCATCTGGATGCCGAGGTAACAGGAGCCAATGAAAGTGCCATTGGCGAAATGTCTGCCCGATTTTCTACAAATTAAGTGGGCAATTATCTTCTACCTTTTTTAATTAGTCGAATCCAAAGGGGTTGACTTCAAAGAATAATTGCAGTGGCATCACAGCGTTTCTTGTGCTTGCTTTGTATTTGTGATACTAGATGACCCGTTGCGCCAATGGCGCAAAAAGCGAGAGCGAGCCAAGTATTCAAACCATGTATATGTGAATGATTTAGTAAATGAGGTGGTGAGGGTATATTTCGCGACATCCCGCCTTGGCCGATTTTCCCCTCCCGCCATCTCCGACCGGATCCCCCATGCACCATGCCCTACGCCGTGTCTTCGTTTTCCACTCAACTCAGTCTGGCTCACTGGAAACGGCCGATTCGAGCGTTTCCAGCGAGCCAGGCTCTGGGGCGCTTTAAGTGCCCTAGCGATGAGAGCCAGGCCTGCTTGCAGGCAACCAAACATCCCATTTTCATCCTGCCCAACCTACCAAATGCATCCTAGGAGTACTCTCTATAGGGCTGCCATCAGTTCACTCAATCCCCCCCCCCTCTCTCCTATGCATGCATGCATGCAATGACATCATCAAGATTCTCTCTAATGGCTGCAATTCAAAAGTTTTATCTTTAAAATAGTTAATACAATCAATGATCTGTTTTCACCGTTGACTTTGTCGCAACGAGATCTTTGAACTAGATCCTATGTCGACATGTTTGGGTAACTATTTTTTTTCACCCTTACTTGCCACATTGTTCCACTCATCATAATATTAACTACATAGTTGCCAAAGAAAAAATAACTTAATTACCATAATTTTTCGATGGAGTTTTGTGCAGACATTGTTGGTGCTTAATGGCGTTTGGTTCCCCCAAACTGAACGGTTCGGTACTTCGGTGTTTTAGCTTTTTCGGTTCCTATAAAAACGTCCACTGATCGGTCTTTGGCAATAAAAGAAACTGAGCCTTCGGTGCTCGGATCGATAGGTCCGCTATTCGGTTTTGCACCGAACAGTTCGAGCAGGTCGGGCCTGGCTTTTTTTTTTGAGAAATCTCGCTCACTTTATTGATTCAAGACAATGTTCATAGGTACACGGTTTGGGTCATGAGGAGTGCCCAACCAAACATGCCTACCTATATCTCAATTACACGCAAATTTAGCGAGATTATGAGCCTCGAAGTTAAAGTTCCTTTGCTCAAACACAAACGAGCAAGAAGAAAAACTAGCTCTGCGGTCTATTATTTCATGTATAACAGCTGCATTGGGACCTCCTGTCCCTTCGTTGGCATCTTGCACCACACCTTGACAATCTGAGGCAACCATGATATTCTGCTCGTGCAGATCTTCCGCCAAAGATAGAGCCTCCCGACATGCGTATGTCTCCAGAGTCACCGGGTCTCGGATGCCCCCAAACACAACTGCTAACGAGCCAAGAAAATTGCCATTTGAATCTCGACAAACTGCAGCAGCCACTCCCACTCGCCTGTTCCTTGCTAGCTAGTGCACCATCCACATTGATCTTATTGAAGCCAGCTGGAGGTGAGATCCATCGACGTTGCTACCCTGGTACCGGATGTACCTGCACTCTCGGTTCACAAGTGGGAATTTGTTGTCGCTCCTGAAGATAAGAGTCTACAAAGGATATAGTCTGGTGTGGATTTTGGAATAAAGATTCATAGATTGCCTTGCACCTTGCATACCACACAGCCCATACTGTGACGACCATTCTCGTAAAACCCGCGTGGTCTAGTGCCTCATGAAGTTCAAACAACCAGTTCTTCGCACATGGCTCCACATTTTCCGTCATCTTCGACACAAGAGTTTCATTCGTCAAGGCCCAAATACACCTTGACATCGTGCATGACAAGAGGGCCTGGCTGCCTGGGCACTACCGCGCTAGGCTGGGTTGGGCTGGCCGGATGGGATAGTAGCTGCTACTACTTGTTTGTCTCCGCTGGGCTGAGAGCTGCGGTTTGTGTGGGCTAGATAAAAACACGTGTTTTGCTGAAAGAAAAAAAAAGATAACGAGGCGACCGAGACAGCAGGCGGCAGCAAACAACACCTAGTAGGTTCACTAAAAGAAAGAAAGCAGATGGGCGTTCGAATTAAGGAGAGAATCAAGGGGACAAAGCGACCAGCCTACGACACTGTTTGCAGGGGCTGGCAACACACAGGAGGTGATAGCACCCAGGTACCCTAACTTGCACAAAACGTGATGATTTAGTTCCAAACTTACAAAACTTGACTTCACCATACCCCAACTTGCACCTCATGTGATGATTTAGTCCCAGGCCAATCACAGCTCGACAATTGGCAGCCAGGTGGCTGGACCGGTCAGCGCACTCACTTTTACAGAAAACCCCCTACTGTTTCCTCTAATCAACCCGCACTCACCTCCACCTGAATTAAAGACGTCGGAATCGAGTTGGCGTCCGTTCGAGGAGGGTTCACGGGCTGGCGAGGCGACAGAGCTCACGAGTTGGCGTCCGTTCGAGGAGGCCGCCGCCCAGGCCCAGACGTGCCTGGATGCGCTGCGTCTGCTCGCGCTCACTAGAGATGCGCCGGCGCCGGTGGACAAGCTCGCCCTCGATGGGAAAGGGCCTGCCGGTGATGCCACCACGCCGCCTCCTCCTCCGTCTCCGTCTCCACCACCGCTGCTGCCGCAACCCCAAACGAGACCGGAACCGGAATCGCAGCCGCAAGAAGCTGAGGCGGAGGCGGAGCCGGGCACCTCCAAGCAGCACTCCTCGCCGCCGCAGCCGGAGGAGGCGTCGCCGGTGGAGGAGCCTTCGCGGGTGGAGCGCAACATCAGGGGCGTCCTGAAGGCCATGCTGGCCATGGGAGCATTCGCCGACGAGCGCTACGCCCTCTACATCGGGGACTTCTTCAAGGCGTACCTCCAGGCGCCCAGGCCCATCGACCCGCCGCCGCTGCCGGATGCCGCTGGGACGGCGGGGCTGGGGCCGTCCAGGAACACTATCCTTACCTCGCCGACGAGGTGGCCAGGATGGAGAAGGCGGTAGAGCAGCGTGAGGTGCTGAGTAGAGGCCTGCTGCAGGCGAAAGCTGCCACGCTGGCCGCCCTGGAAGCAGAGTTCAGCGAGGCGACGTAGGCCGGCAAGGAGGCGATGCAGGCCAAGCTGGAGGCGGAGGTGCAGTACGCCAAGGCCAGGGTCGACACGGAGGCCATGGTTGAGATGGTCAGGTGGCAAAGTTGGTTGATCTTTCTGTCATGTGCAGATGCAATGCAAATGGAAGCCATTTGCTATAGTGGCTACTAGTATCAGGCTTGGATCGAACTATGGAAGAAATGTTGATCAGGAGGTGACCTTGCACTTTGTATCGTGGACATGTCTAATGTATCTAGCTAGCAATATTTAGGGCTATTTGCATCAATATAGACTTGAATCTACTCTGGCCTGAATGACCAATTTCTCAATTTACTCTGTTCATAAGTATTGTATCCTTTGTTCTCTTCGTCTGCGAACGTAGAAATTTTGGCAAAAAATGTGTCAAGAATCAGCAAAACTAGTACTCTACATTTACATTTACATTCCACATAGTGAAAAGAAGATGAATGCAGAACAGATCGCGCATGAGCAGGACTGTAGATTTAAGTTCCCGATCAAATTGGGTTAAGTCATACATTTAGCTTTGGAGATTACACACATAAGACCCATCCATGAAACGAAATTAACTTCACCTTGCCTCCTAATTAATCAGCATTCCACCATAGCCTGACCCATACTACTAGTAGTACCTAAATCATTTCTGGTTGGGAGCGGCAGACTTGACGGTTTCGACCATGGCCTCCGCCTGAATCCTGGCCCTGGCGTAGCGCACCTTCGACTGCAGCTTGGCCAGCATGGCCTCCTTCCCGGCCCGCGTGGCTTCCTTCAACCGATCTTCCAGCGAGCCCAGCGCGGCAGCGTCCATCTGCAGCAACCTCCTGCCCAGCGCCGCACGCTGCTCCGCCGTCTTGGACCTCGCCAGCCTCGCCACCTCGTCCGCGAGGTAAGGGTAGCGGCCCCTCATCGCCGCCCCCAGCTGCGCCACATGGAGAGGCACTGCGCTCGTTGCCGACGGCGGGTCGATGGGCCAGGGCGACCGGAGGTAGGCCTTGTAGAACTCCCAGGAGTAGAGCTCGTGCCGCGCGTCGGGGAACGCGCTCATCTAGTGGATCGTCTCCGAGAGGGCCATGGTGTGGAGCTCCATGCGCGACGGCGGGGAGGGATAGTGGTTGGTGGTGCGCCGCTCTGGCTCCGGCTCGCGGAGGCCGAGCTGGCCGAGCATCTCCTGGATCGCGTCTTCGAGGCCCCTGGCACGCGGCGGCAGGGGGGTTTCTGCAAAAGTGCGTGCGCTGACCGGTCCAGCCACTTGGCTGCCAATTGTCGAGCTGTGATTGGCCTGGGACTAAATCATCACATGAGGTGCAAGTTGAGGTATGGTGGAGTCAAGTTTTGCAAGTTTGGGACTAAATCATCACATTCTGTGCAAGTTAGGGTACCTGGGGTGCTATTACCTCAACACAGAGCGTACGAACGTGAACTAATTTATGGAGGACACGCGAGATAGAGGTGGGCCTCAGTGATTCGGTCAATTCGGTGGACCTAGTGTGTAGACCGAAATTACCAAAGTAAATTCACTTTCACAGAATCGCTAACCGAGCGAAGTACCGAATAAATCAGTTCCAGTCACTTCGTCTTCGGTCCAGGTTAACTCGGTTCGGTCGTTCGGTTTTCGGGTTATATGCCCACCCCTAGTGCTTATAAATCTAGTTGCCACACTGTTTTTATGCGCTCTCCATTTTAATTCTACCTAATCGACATGTTGTTTCATAAAGTTTATTAGTGCTTATAAAATCTAGTTGCCATAATGTTTTCCCGTGCTTGTCATCTTAATTCTACCTAGTTGTCACATTGTCTCAAAAAGCTTGTTACTTATTGTAGAAACTAGTTGCCGTACTGTCTTGTTGTACAGTTGTCGTGTTGTCTCTATAAACTTGTCGATTGTTCTAAAACATAGTTATTGCGGTGTTTTGTTGTGCTTATCAGTCTAATTCTGCCCAATTGTCTCTTATAAGCTTGTGAGTTGTTGTAAAAACTAGCTGTCACATTATTTTGAGTGCTTGCCATTTAAATTCTATCTAGTGGCTAGTTATTTCATAAAACTTGATTATGGACTTTATCAGTGAGTGAAGTGTTACCAGGTTCAAACCTTTGTAATTCCTAAACTACAAGAGGTTTTAGAATGTTGTGTGCCCCCTTAAAAAAACAAAAGTCGGCATACTAGCACATCACGTACTGTAGCATTGCGCATCATTCTTTTCCATCGGGCCAGCGCAGTGTAGCATGTGTGTAGAGTCACTGTAGCCTTTGTTGCGTGTTATACTTCTCTCTAGTCCTAGTTTTGTTTCTTTTTGTGCGTGCGTGTGCACACGCTACAGTTTATATTTTTCCATTAAATATTGGACCTCGACATCTCCCAAACGTTCGGATTTTAAGCAAAGCAACCAAAGGTTTTTTCACCACAACTTTAGCTGACTTGAGATGGCAACTTTAGGAGAGAATTCCTTATTTGGCCATTTCTTAAAATTTGCTTCCCTATTTGACAAAAAAGTGTTTTTTCTTCTCTATTTGATCCCAAATGCCAGCGGACGATGATGCTCGAGAATTCGTGAGGAAAAATATATATTGTCGTTGGACGGATGTAGTACGCACTGTGCTGCAAGTTACTAATTCAAGTTAATTGTGATTAACTCCAACAGACCGCCCCTGGTGCATATGTATTTGCATTTGCATACGTCAAGGAGCTAGGTAGCTGGACCCTCTCCTTTCTACCCCTTTCTCTCTACTGTTCGAGAGAGGCGACCACGAGAGCGACTCGGCCCCGGCCCGATCCTGGATCTTTGCCGCCGGCGACGCCGGTCGGGAAGGAGATGGGAGAGGTGCGCGGCGCTCTGTTGTAAATAGTAGGCCTACTCTAGGTGTTTCCTTTGTGGAGTTTGGCCTTGTGCCGGTGTTTGGCGTCATGCCGATGGAGCGCAATCCACCGCCGCTTGCGCGCAACGCCTGGTGGTCGCCGATGACATCTTCTGCTCTTCTCCCATGGTGGTGGCGAAGGGGAGATGATGTTTCTGGTGCTAGCTCTCTAAATAAGCGTGTGGTCTTCGTGCCCCGGATCTGGAGGAAGGCCAGCCGATTCTCCCGGTTTCTTCAAGCCGTTGCGGTGATGGAGCGGGAGCTTGGGAGGAGCGGTCATCTGAAGATGTCAGATCAGGTTCGAGCTCAACAGCAGCAGCTATTGCGGTGGGGGCGCTGGCGCCTGCTGTGGCGGTCGATGGCTGGTCATCGCCGTCATTCTGCTGCTTCTTCTGGCCGGTGATCGTAGTCGTTTGTTGTTTCTTCAGGGTCATTTGTGTAAGACGTTGTACTTCTCTTTATCTGAATAAATAGTTCGGGATCCTTCCGGATCCCTCTCTTGTTCAAAAAAAAAGGGAGCTAGGTAGCTAGCTAGGAGGCCCCGTGCACTTGCCAGAGGTTGGCGGTACGTACGTACTTAGTACATTCAGCAGGAACGGGACGGTGGTGCTGCTGAAAGTCCCTTATGCATGCATGCATACCGTGTTTGTATCTGCAGTAGAGTAGTATTTGTCTCTATGCGAGGCAGTTGCAAGCCTGTCATATTGAAGAATCGAACCTTCTTTTTTAGCCATGTATAACATCAGGGATAGAATGGTCTTTTCATGTTGCATTTACCACCGTTAGTGGTCAAAATAGACGGAAGTGTCAAATAGGGAACACATTTTACATCCTCTGTCAAATAAGGAAGAAAACACTTTTTGGGTCAAATAGGGAACCAAATTTTAAGAAAGGGCCAAATAAGAAATTCTCTCCAACTTTAGTTGGTCAATATGGCAATTTTGTGAGTTGGTTTTTGTCAAAAAATTGCCATGCTTGCCAACAAAACTTGCCACCTCGAGTCAACTAAAGTTGCCATGATAAACATTTGGGTCTCATGGTTAAAATCCGAACATTTGGGATTTATCTTTTCCGTAAATATTTCAATTTCAGAATATTAAACAAACTCTCAATATTCTTTTCCTTAAATTAACAAAGCTGCTGAGCGCCCAACGCATAACACGTGGTGGCTGCTGAGCTCACTATTTAGCATGCTTCCAAGCCAAAACGGTTGATAGTTGATTTTTTCAAAAAAGAGAAACGATTAAAAAATGGAAAAAGTTCAAAAAATGGAAAAGCTCATGAAATTCGAAAAAAGTTCAAGAGAGTTCAAAAATTTGAAAATAAAAATTCACATGAGATTGAAAAAAGTTTATAATTTGAAAATTTCACAAAATCTGGAAAAGTTCAAATTTGTGAGAAAGTTCACAAATTATAACAAATCTAGACGTGCGCTGAAAATTCAAAAAGGAAAACCAATAAGAAAAACAATATAAATGGACAAAAAAATAAAAGCAAATACAACCGAAGAGAAGTAAGAAAAACAAGAAAGAACTAAAAGAAAAAAAAACTGAGAAAAAATAATATAAAACCAATGTAAAAGGAAAAAAAAGAAAACTGAAGAAACTGGTGAAAAAAGAAGTAAAAGAGAAAAAAAAAGGAAAAACAAAAGCCGACAAGAAAGAGCGACAAACCCACCCAGTTCAGTCATGACACACACAGGATGAGAAAGACGCCACCGCCCACCAGGTTCTTCGCCGCCGCCGCCGCCGCCGACCAGGAGCCCGGACGCCACAACATGTCTCTCCCGGTTACTACAAGATATAAGGTCCGTGTGCTATTCCTCCAGCTCATTAATTTCTTTCCAGCAATGGAGATCGGAGGGCGAAACCCTAATACTCCTTTTCCCGACTATATTTTTCTCAATGAAAGAACATACATAGAGTGCATACAAGGTCAGCAGGCCTAGCTAGGCAGCGGTGCGTGCGTACATGCTGCTGCGCATGATCCCATCGGCCAAAGCCCTATATGTTGCTATCACCGTGTGTTCTACAGATCACAATAATGGTTTTCATTTTGCTGCAGATAATTCCCTGTGGCCATGCACGCACGTGTGTGTACAATGCTACTAAATATTTACTTAAAAGTGTTTAAAATACTAAAATGTACTTATAGTAGTTTCATAGACTGGCTTGCTTCTAATTGTATATGAAAGAATTCTGTGATATAGGTTGCTACATATTCTTTGTATTGTAAGTAGACCAACAATTATTTTTACTGATTACTGAAAAAGGCGCTAACCTACAAACAAAATCTCGGACAAAAGTTCCTTTGGGGAGCACGAGTTTCCCTCCTCTGCAATTTAGTGCGCCACTCAGTCAGTGAAGTGACCTGTGCTCAAGCCTATTGTTAGAATTTTTATGTTTGGTTGTGAATTGATTACAATGCTCTGCGGGTAACGGACTCTGCTCCTGGATGTTCTTTAATTTCTGCGAGGTAAAATGAATCGCTTGGAGGAACCCAACAAATATTGTAAAAACACCTAGAGGAACCAGCGAATACTGTAATAACCGAATCTTCTAAAATAAACATAATAAGTTTGTAGATATCTTGATAATGGTATCATGTATTTTTGGGAATAGGCACTCCATGCTCCATGGAGACGTGGAAAATTATGTGCACAAATAATCATCAAACAGTGTGTAATTCTCAACCGCTAAATATACATGACAGATTCTCCCTTTATGTTGTGAGCACCATTCTACGGTAGTACTCTCCAAGAGCCCAGACAGGGAAGATGTTCCTGTATTGGGCGTAAGTGAGCATAAGGTTGCGGTTGGCAACTCCAATAATGTCCTGTCAAGTGAGGAAACATGCCAAAGTTATTCCAAAGCACACTAGCTACTAGGAATTAACTTAGATCTTGTTATTATATTTGTAATCACTAATTAACGGTAAGTTGCAATCAATTAATTGGAGTTTATATCGTTCAATCACTATTTTTTTCTATGGAGATACATTGTCGTACTATTGCTTGCCCTTGCAAGCATAGCACATGGTGCTCATAAAATAAAAGAGAATGACTTACTTGCTGAGGGAACTCTCCATCCTCCGACTGGAAGTTGATAAGAACCGTGGCCGCCCTATGTAAAGGTGCAGGATTTCTTTGACCCTGTTCATTCGGAAAAAAATATGTACTACTGTCAGCATACAAACCAATTCAACACAGAATGATATACTGTGATCTGCACTAATAATGGAGATGTGTACGCGGTTGTGTACAAGTTGCAGTTCACAAGTAGTGTAGCAAATGAATACTATAGGACATGCATGCACTGAATGGATTTAACTAAAAGGCAAGCTTCAAAGGAACAAAATCACCTGTCCGGCATCAATTAGGGCCAACATGGCCCAACTGGTGTTGACCGCGTGAGGCCGGTTGCCTTCAAGATTGGTGTAAACCTATGTTGTAAGTTTATTAAAGCACTCACCGATCACGGTTAATTGGAGTTATTAATACATGAAAGTAGGAGAAAATTTACCATGTTTTGACTGGAGAGGTAACTTTCTCCCCACCCCCCTAATGGGAGAAGCTCCTTGGATAGCAGAAATTCACATGCTTTTCTGATTGCTTGGCTGTTCTTGTACGTTCTGCCAGCAGCAATCAATCCTCTCACACTAAACCATGTACCATAGGTGAAACAAATAGCCCAGCAGCCATACCTGCAGTACAAAATTAACTGGACAAGTTCAAATGATATAGAGGCTGGGAGTTGAATCTTCCATTATGTAAGAACAAAGAAAGAGAGAAACTTCAGGAGCAAATTTAACGAGAATTCAAACCATGATCCATCGCTCCGTTGGATGCTCTCAATGTAGTCAGCTGCCTTTTGGATACAATTTTCTATCTCTTCCATGCGACAATGTTTGGGGTACATTTCTCTAAATAACACTAGACCCTGAATTACTGATGATGTACACTCAACATACCTGTGTGCGACCAAAGATTGAAAATGCATCAAAATTAACACAAAATTAGCAACGGAAATAACTAAGCAAGCAACCAATGGTCAGAGTCCCTTACGAATGCTCGATCATTACATCCCCAAAGCTCTCAGAAGGATTGAGCAACTAAAGAGTATGAAAAACAAATGATCATCATTGCATAGAGGAAACTTATAGCATTATCAATTGATGAAACAAGAATTGTTATACATGAACTTTATATGATAAATTCAACAAAAAATTTCTTCCTCCCCACATACTAGATGAAAAATGTTCCTCCTAGAAGCTTATTCAAACTCACCTCAAGCCATTCATAAGATCTTGTTAGCTCATATGCACCAAAACTACCATCATCGTTCTGCAAAAGGTGTATCGAGTAAGAATTTTAAAACGTACATTATTGTTTCATACCATTCGAGAAATGAGAATATTAATTAGAAAATGTGAGTAATGAGTTGAAACTAGCTACGAAAAAATGAATAAACAAAAGAATGGGTTAGAACTGGGAGGTACTAACCATCAAAGACAATAGAATATTGACTGCATCATCAAGCTTGCTTCTTTCCATAGGCTCGCCAACCAATTCAGGAGGAAGCTTAATCAACATCAATATAACCTTAAGAGAAATGCAGTCTTAGCTTATTCATATCAATGCACCATTGATTTAGCTCATGGAATCGGGGCTGCAAGCGAATGGACTTCGAGCGAATTGGTCTAGGCTTAGCTCAGCTCATACAAAAATTTGAGTGAGCATGTCTTAGCACATACATGCTACCAAACACAATGTAGTGTATGCACTCAGCATGCATGGACTCAACATGTATAAGGGGAGAACATCCACGCTAAGCCGGGACTGGCTACCAAACACACTCATAGATAATTTGGATAGAATTGCCCAAATGTATCTTGCGGTCGTCGGCTCCGCTCGATGCAGCGAATCTCAAGCTAAGTTTGCTGCTACGGCCTGCTCAGTTCCCCAGTCTCCTGACTGCTAGTTTGGTTGCGTTGGATTTCCCACTAGAGGGGCTCTATGCCGGCGCCGTGCAGGCCCCGCAGGGCCACCTTGCCCCCTCATCAGCTGCTGCGGTGGTGATGGTTGGCCTTGCTACGTCCACCTCCATCTGCTCGACCACGTGCTATGACAACTAGTCGATGCGGTTGTTGTGGGTTGGTGATGATGCTACTATGCGCTCCGCCTAGCAGTCTCGCCTCCAGTCGGTGGTGGTCCGAGAGAGGCGGTTGTTGGATGAAGTTGATGCTACTACTTCATCCTCCCATCCGCGGCCTCACCTCAAACCATTGGTGGTTTGGGACAACCCTAGGGCATATGGGGGTGGGAATTTGTCGCCTGCCGCAGATCATGGAGACTGGGTTGATGTGCGGGGCTTAGAAGATGTGCCGATGCTACTATGAGAAACCTGGTTGCGAAGACGTCATGTCCGGTGGCCAGTCAGGATGAGATACCACCAATCTCAAGTGGATGGACGCATAGTGCTTTCGTTGTCTCAACAGCAAGCATTTTGCCGCGGCTTGCGAGGAGCCGCTCAAATATTGGCAATCCTACAAGGCTTTCCATCTTGCGAGCAAATGCCCTGGCCTATCGCCAATGCCCTCCTCGTCGGTGCGTTCCTCTAGTCATTGGCTCAGAGCTGAGGTTGGTCGTGGCATGTCGGTCGACCTTGCTTCTAGGATGCATCCGTACATTGAGGCTTTTTGGCACCGTCCCATGGAGATAATTTAGCTTGTCTAGCGGAATGTTCCATCTTCCTCGCTCTCCTGTCGAGCAGGATCTTCTTGTTGCAGTGCTCTTGGTTGAGCCGGGGCATCAATCGGCGACATAGGAATCCTATGCTTGATGAACCAATGATGCCCTCTCCTAGGGTTTTCGCCTACCCTCAACTGTGCCATGGGCTGCTCCACTTGGGGAATGATGTGTGGTTGGCCCATGTTTTCCCGTCGGACGGGAGTGGGGAGTTTGTCGATGCAATGAGCTTGGAGGCTATGTTCTTTCTCCTCTCCAAGGCCTGCTCCCCATCTTCCGATGTGCACTTCCTTGCATGTCTGATTCTTAGTTTAGAGGAGCCGCTTGGTTTCAATATGGAGAGCATGATGGAGGCCTTCAGCAAGCCTGGTATTGTTGTTGAGTCATAGGTTGAGATGAGCAGTGTTATATCTAAAGTGATACATGTTGATGCGCAACCATTATCTGTGGAGGATTTTCCAGGGTTACTTGCGAGGTCCCACACCCTCTTCTTGGGACCCCCGGCGCCTTCGCATATGGAGGTGGATGGGGGCGACAAAGTGGTCGTCTGAAAAAAGAAGAATAAGGCGTGCAACATCCCGGTGACTAAGCACACAGAGTATAGGTTGCTGGAGGTTTTTGGTAAGTTGCAAGAGGTGAGCAAAGTGGAGGTCCCTTAGAAAAATACGAAAGCATACTTGGACATGTACAAAATATCACTTCTACCGCAAGTGATCGCGGCATTAACCACTTTGGTAGGCATCACCAAGAAGTCAAAGGTGGACCTTGCATGACGATTCCCAGATAGTAATGTCGGCACATGACGCTTCCATGCTGAGGCAGAGGTGTGATTCGATATGGATGAGTTCTCTTCGGCCAGTGATGGTCAATTTGTTTGTACTTGAGCCAAACCCAATTGCTTTGGACCTTGGTGCTCTGGTGTCGGGCTCAGACTATGTTCCTTGGGTCTGCATTTGTCTTGTCCCTGTCCCCAGGGTGTCATGCGTATTTTGGCCACTTTATACGTAGACGGGGGTATAATTTAGGGGTAGGGTGTTGCACACTTAATTTAACCTAGTTTACATGCATGCATGCCAACAAAGATAAATTTGAAATGTTTGCCTTATAATAATTTTGATTACCAAAGTTGGAAGACATGGACTACCCGAATGGTATTATGCATATTGACTATATGAATCATATTACACAAGGGTATACATGAATGGTATTACACAAAGGTTTTGGATAATACAAAAATCAAGTGGGAGGACTACCTTCAATGCTTCTGCAGTACAGTCTGATACTGGCCACCCATGGTCAGCAGTTGAATGTGTCCATCCACCTTTAGTTATATGATGATACCACTCAATTTGATCTCCAGGAAAATTCACATGAATCTACATGAACATTTAGACATAATTACTACTAAATATTATTCAACAGTTAACCCTTATTGATTAGTGTCCAACAAATACATTATCATGTAGCATTTTGTATATTTACCTGTGAACTTTTTATATAGTCATGGGCAAGTTTTATTGCATGGGGGAACTCTTTTGTCAGGCCAGTAGCAAATATAGCTTGAACTGTCAAAACTGTGTCCCATAGTTGGCTGCCATTGTAAGACTAGAAAGAAGGGTATAAGATTATGAGTAAATTAAGAAGTACACATTATCCTTAGTTATTTCAATGTAAAAACAACTATTTTAGCAATTGGATTGAAATGCATTTGAATTTCTTTCCAAACATGTTTATTTCCTGCCAAACATATGCACTTGTTCATCCCCACTCATACTAGCTTTAATACATGGTCTTCCAAAATAACTACAAGAGAGTCTTGAGTTATCTACTCCCTATCATATCTTATATCTTCTATATGTAAATAGCTAGCTCCCACAAACCTATTTCTCTAGACATGTAAGCATGCCACCTCATCATTCAACATGCAACCCACCTCAACATGCGACCATGCACAAGTAAACGGCTCATCAACATACAAAAATGCATGGTAATTTTTATTATATTATGATATTTATATTTAACAAATAATTTAGAACTATAAGATAATCAAACACATTAAATAATTTGCATTTTCAATTCTAGTTCTAATATTACTAATCATATTCATGTTCCATACAACCAAATGTCCTTGAAATATATATTGCAATATATTGCCATACAGCCCGTCGTTGGAGGGGGCCAAGATGGGTGACCGCACAGGGCCCCCAAAAGTTTGGGGCCGAGAATCTTCATGGCATATTATACAACATATACACGTTTAAAGGTGGCTTAACGCTAAAAAAGATGGTTTAATGCCTTAATCCACTGACAGAATCAATGAACCAAAGAAAAAGGACCAACCCACTAGAAAATTAGCCCATGACGCTGCTAACCTTCTGTCAATACCACATGATGCTTCCACTAATTGTCTAGGTAGGTATCCTTTATTCACTGTTCCATCGGTTCGCCACCGCAGCTCCACCGGCGGCTAATCGCCCAGCCGCTAGGACACCATCTGCTTGCACCCGATCGATGATCGCCTACGATTCCACGACCTCTGCCTCCAGTCATCCACTAGTAGATATTGCTAATTGACCAGTAGTACTTGATTAATTTGAACCCCCCGAAGGCTAAATTAGGTCGGGGCTCGGGACAGTTATTTATCCATGGGGCTAGGTCTTGCTAATTTCTTTATTTGTTGACAGGGCTAGATCGGTTGTCCGTGATTTTATTTATTTTCACAAACTAGGCTGTTTCATCTTTGAATATGATTGAAGAATTCGTTTTAAGGAATACTAGATGGATGCTTCTTTTCACTAGAACATGAGGTTAGTTTATTGTTTTAGTACCCCTTTACCGTGTTTAAGTATTAGTATTTGAAATATATCTAAACACTGTGCAAAATAAAACAGATGCAAAATTATATAATACAGTGACAATATGCATTTATTATATTATTTTTTTGTTATATGATTCTTTTAGAATTTTGGACCCCTGTTTTCGCCCCCGGGGCCTCGAATTTCTAGAGACGACCATGTTCCCACAACAATTTGTGAGGTATCAGATAGTATACTTAAGTAGTTTATTCCCACTACCTCTTTGTCGCAACATGCGCACATACCACCTTATCAAAGGCCCACCACAACTTGCATGGGAAATAAATTCCCATTATATTATGCTTCTTATATTCAATAAATATTTTTTAACTACACATATAATATATATTACCCACAAACGATATAATATGAATTTATATTTTAGTTCATATATTATTAATCTAAATATTCATATTCATGTTTCATACAACCAAATCTCATTGAATATGTTTCAAATAATTCTCTCAATAATGAGGGGGCTATCATCTAGTGTTTTCAAAATTGGTAACACCTTAATCTTCGCTTCAAAATACATTCTATATGAAAACGTGAAGTGAGTAAACGACCAACATATTGTTTTTTCAAACCCGTAGCAGAAACTATGTCTTTTATAGAGGAGAAATATGCACTAAAATTCAAGAAGAGAGGTCTTGAACATTGTTGGAATCTAAATACACTCCCTCAGCCAAGTGAGTGGGGCCAATTCATAGTATCATAAAGGTTCGTTGAGCATTGGCGTGTTGTGGCATGTATGGATATATTTGAAGTAAAAGAGACATCATAGATATTATTTTGATTCAAATTATGTATATCAACTTGTCTTCCAATTTTTGCCTCCAGCTCAGTTAAAGCTATTAATAGATGCCTATATGAGTTATTTTTTAATGAAATGCAGAAGAGCTCGTAAACACCTTCAGCTTCATGCCGTCTTTGGCGACCCATAAGAAATCATATATTCTTTCAATATGGAGTTTGAATGCCTCTGAGTTTGGATCTTCTACCCAGCAACAAATCATATTCAACATCTGCTTAGAAATTCCTAGTAGTCAGTTGAAACAAATTATGAAAGAAACAAATTTACTTTATAAGTAGTGAATGGATTTAATAAAGTTAAATCAACTATAGGAGCCATTTGGATGTTGGACCTATTTAAGGAAAACAATGATGCAAAAATTACTCAAAGTAACCCCTCCTTTACCTTATTTAGAGGACCAATGCATATGTATTGAGTTGTTTCATCCTCGTACTTTATATGTTTCATGACATTGTCCAGAGCTTTCTCCCGCAAATTGCTACCAGGCCAGTGCATAAATATTGGTTCACCAACTTTCTTGAGAGTAGCCGATACGATATCTTGCAATGCTGAATGGGAATAATAGAGATCTTCCTGGAATGCAACCAAAATCAATATTTCAGTTCACAAGATATTTGAAAGCTATAGTCATGATTATAGAAAGCCTTTGGTTTCATACTTCTATTCCTTTATATGAGGTTTAATAATATCTTGTGGCAATCAAAATGAAGAACATATCCATGAAGGTGGCGGACGCCATTGCTTTTACAAATCCCCCTGAGGCAACCTTCCATTGCAACCCGATTCCAGCGGGCTATGCTCGTGTCTTGGTTGATGAGGTGGTGGACCCATATTCGGAGCTAGAGCTTGACTATCCTGGAGGTGACGACGAGCGCTTTCTCGGAGACGCCAAACATCGTATCATCCTATGGAAAAAGGATTGCATCATCATTCGAAGGCCACCGACACCGCGTCAGTCGACTCCTCGTCGAAGTCCGCCACCGAGTCAGCAGTCTCCCGCTCCTGCAAGTCCACCAAGTCCGGCAAAGTGTCAGGCCACTCCTCCTCCAAGTCCGGCAAAGTGTCAGGCCACTCCTCCTCCTCCAAGTCCACCACAGCGTCAGACATCCACTCCTCCTCCAAGTCCGGCACAACCTCAGGCCACTCCTCCTCCAAGTCCGGCACAGCTTCAGGCGGCCACTCCTCCTCGTCCAACTCAGCCCTGTCAGCCGTCTCCGCCGCCTGAGCAATCACAGAAGAGACACCCCGCAGCTATGGTGCGTAGCGGTACGACCCGAGGTAGTACAGGAAGTACAGGCGGAGGCAAGTGATATAAATATGGTCCAAGCCTCACGCCTCTTCCGCAGAGGGCTTATGACAGGTCCGAGGAGGAAATCGCATCCATATCGAAGTCCGAGGTGGAAGCCCATTTTGCACCGAAACCGCCAACGCCGCCAAGGGAGAAAGTGCCTGAGGAAACGATTGACCACTTCATTCGTATGGCTCAACCACCAGCTCCCAAGCCTGTTGACACAGACTATGAGCGCCACGTCAGGAAGTTAAATCGAGCACGTGTACGTAAGGAGGCGAGCTCGGGATCGAGCAAACAAGAAGCAGCTGTCAAAAAATGCAGGAAAACCATTCCCCAGCTGGGAGAACAGGCGGCGCAATCGATCCCCTCGCTTGTTGTGCCAACAACACGTGACAGTACGCGCGCCCAATATTATTGTGGGCAAACAGTTTACGTTCCTGAGGTGGGCAATGTGGTAATAACGGAGGAGCATATAATGCAGGCTGAAGTTCTCAAAATCACTGTTGGACAACTCCTCGAGATCGAGCCCATGCCTGTGCTTAGAGAGGATGAAATAAAACGGAAATATGTCCCGGGCCAACCTTTGGTCGAGTCAGACAAGGTCAAGAACCTCCCAACGAGAATGTATGAATTGCATCAATGGTACATGGACATTACCAAAATTTCCGATCGATTGTCCCTCATGGTGAATGTCAAGGAGGATCATTACTACCATGAGAAAGTTGTGTCCGTTGAGTATTCTGAACTGTTTCAGTTATACAATCAAGACGCACTCAACAAATCTATCGTCAGTTGCTATTGTCTGTAAGTGATTTTTTTCTGTAATTTAAGTCTCAAGCTAGCTGTAGTGATCCTTTTGATCAATCATTACCTGTAATTATCCTCACTATATTCTTTTCTGTGGTATTATATGCAGGATGAAGATGTATGAAATGAGAAAAGGTGGACGCTATGGCATTGGGTTCATTGACCCAAACACCATTAATGAATACACATGGAAATTAGATGAACGTCATCAAAAGGCCGTAGAGGACAGCATGCTAGAGTTCTTGAAGCGCCTCAAATACAATGAAGATATACTACTTCCTTACAACTTCCAGTGAGTCACACTGTCTTGTACTACAAATTCTCTGTTTTTGCCTACTAGCTAGCTACATGTTTTTGCTTACATATGCCCGCTTAATTAAGACATGCAAACGTGTGTGCATGCAGATATCACTGGGTCTTGTGTATCATTAAAGTTGACGCCGGAACAGTTGAAATACTGGACTCACTACTCAAAGAAAAAACTGACTATAACATCTTGTTTGGGATAGTCAACAGGTAATTTCAATCATTATTAACTATATATCTCGGCCTATTTAGTTTGTCATTTCATGATATGAACTATTTAATAACCCCTTTATTCATTTTCTTTTTCGGCAGGCAGGGCTTGGGCAAGGTTCATCAGGGTCACGGACGGCGAATGGAAAGAAAAGCTTAAATGGGGAAGACCCAAGGTAAGTAATTAAGTAGTACTAGCTAGCTAGCTAGCTGCCATCTCTTTAATTATCATGCTTGATTAATTATTATCTGATCAAATTCCATTCTCGTAAAGGCCCTGAAGCAGGCGCAGGAGACTGATCTGTGTGCATTCTGCGTTTGCGAGAACATTCGCATGATGGCGTCCGAAAGGAGCAGATCTCAAAGACAGGAATGGGTACGCTTGTCAAAACAATATTCACAATTTTTACACCATTATCGATATCTAGTCACACAACTAATACACATGCATATTGATCTCCTTCTTAACAGTTCAGAGAGGTGCGGGCGAAGCTCCTAGAAACGGAGCGCGTAGAAGCACTTCAAGAGGAAATAGCGGGATTTTTGCTCGACCAGGTCATAAATCCGAAGGGAGAATACTACTACCCGCTACCACCCCCATGAAAACCACTTCCAATTGTCATCGTGCTCCGAAGGCACCAATTAGGCTATAATGCCATTGGCTCCGAAGGCAACATGCATATGTAGGAGAAATTGTACATGTGTGTATGTGTGAATTAATTAATATGATGATTTGTGAGACATTGATGA